TGGAGACCTCGTGTGGCTACACCTTCACAAGGACCGCTTTCCCCAAGAACGCAATTCCAAACTTCGACCACGCGCGGATGGACCATTCAAGGTGCTTGCACGCTACAACAACAACGCTTACAAGATCGACATTCCTCATGACAAGTACTCCGTGAACGACATCTTCAACATCAAAGATCTCTCGCCCTATCACGGTGATGAGGATTTCGATCCGAGGACGGATCTTCCCCAAGGGAGGGGAGATGATGTGGAGCATCCCAAGATCATCCCCATGGACGCACCCACACCTCAAACGGCACCACTTGGACCAATGACACGAGCCCGAGCCAAGGCTATCGAAGATAAGGTGAACTCACTCCTCTCCGAACTTCCACTTTCTATGCATGAGACATGGCTACTACCTAAGTCCGAGATGTTGTGCATGATTAGGTACCATGGCCCCGGACGTCCGGCCCCTGGAGCGCCTTCCTCTTCAGCTGCTCAGCCTCCAATTGCCTACAGGCCCCGGACATCCGGCCCGCAAGCCCGGGCATCCGGCCCTTCCTGAGGTCCCGGACATCCGGCCCCCTTGCCCGGAAATCCGGACACCCCGAACCCGAGAGCAACATGGCCAGCTTCACCAGCCCGGACATCCGGCCCTCCACGAACGCCGGACATCCGGCCCGACGCCCGGATGTCCGGCCTCCCTGTCTACGCACAATAAAGGGCCGAGGCCCGTGTATCCCTTCCCTCTAGACTATATATACTCTATCCCGTACAACTTTCTAGGTTAGCATTGGTTTAGCTCATATTTGAGATAGAGCATTGCTCATCCACATCGGATCTACTCCACGAGAGAGACCGCGGCCTCTACGGAGAAGATCCCTTTGGATTCAAGACCTCCTTTTGGAGAAGAACTCAAGACCTCCTCACGGAGAAGACCGGCTACCTATGTATCGTCCTTAGTTGATCATGTACCGTGTATCGTTCCATGTACTCGAGGATCTAGTGCATGTGTAACTTGTTCTTGTTGGTTGAGTGATTCTCTTGTGTTTCCCCTTGTGTTTCCCTCGTTTTCCCCTCATGTTCCTCGTGTTCTTCGCAGGATCCGCTCCTTTCGTGAAAGATCGAGGGATTAGCGTTCTACCCTACATCAAATTATGAGAGGATGGCATCAAGCTAGACCCATGAATCTAGAAGAGAAAGGAGCAAGATTTAAGAGAAACTCTTCTTCGGTCTTCCCAAACCCGAGAATGACGACGAGAAACACCACCATGAATTGTCGAGGCACTCCGGAAAGAAAATTAGAAAGGTTGAACCAACGATGAAAATAATATGAAAGATCTTGAAGAAAGACATATGACTGATGATAATTCATTATTATGTCAACTTGGAAAAGAATTTGAGAGTAACACCAAGAAAATAGAAGAGTCGGGTAAGATCCTGGGAAAAAACATGTGGGTTAGGGCCCACTCAAAAGAAACACCGTTGAAAAGATTTCTTGAAAAGAGAGATTGCACCGGTTGAATTAAATGGCATGAATGAGATAACATCCTCGAAAGAGCTTGAACGAATGCAGCGTGGAAACACGAATCTTCGAGATATCTTCAGCACTCCGGAACAATTGAATAGCGAGACGTGGATGATTAAGAGGTGCACCGGCATGAGAAAACATTTGAAACGAGGAAAGGATATGATCGACAAAGCTTAAATTGAATCCACCGGAGAAGAAAAGAAGAAGAATGATGAACTTGAAGCTCCATTAGTATCTTCCTGAGAATCACCGGATAAGAACATCGATTGAACAAAAATGAAGAGACTTCACATGGATAAAATGGATACTTGATTTAGAAATCTGAGTCCTTGAAGAAAAAGGGTGGGAGGGCAGGAAAAACGAAGACAACTTGGGCAGATGGAAAGGATACCATTGAGAAAACTTAGAGTTGATCTTGCGGATGTTGAATATGATCATATCCACTTGAAGGAAACATGTCGGTTGAAAAAGGATTGGCATGACAATCTCGATGATCATTAAGGATTAGTATTCGCATAGAAATATGAGAACACCACTCAGGAAAGGTATGGAATCAACACTTGACATTGAAGCAACTCGAATACCACAACTCAAAACAAAACAAAGGATTGGCTTGCAAAATAAGCCGGAAACAAACATATGATAGACCCCATATCGTATCATGTGTCTGTTGGAAAGACATTCTAGGAGCTACTTGAATTCCTACTTATAAACTCCCAAAACTTTCTGGTTATGCAATCAGGTGTTGGGGATATAGGGGAAGCATAATATCTCGCCCAAACTAACAATTCCTACATCCAGGTGTATCCATCCTTCAACACATAACGAAGAAACCTTCGGAAATCATTTACCTCAACCTTCAAAAAGCATCCGTTATACGAGTTATGGCAATACTCCCGAACTCCCGCCCCAGTACTGGGTGGCGTCGAGGTTATCTCACCAACAACAACATAAAAGAGATTTTCAATGTCGGCGAACTCAGGTATTCCAGAACAGCAATGATAAAATTGTGACGACAACACCTCGGAGCTCAACTCCCCGGGACATTGCCACAACCCCTAAATGTCAGGAGGCACCAAGAACAATGTTCTCGTCACAAGTCTATCAAAATGATTCCAAGATACCCACGTGATCCGAAAAAAAATCGTGAAATTTGAGGAGAGAAAAGCCAAAACTTCTACGTCAGGAGGCCTCACCAAAGCGACGAAGGGACCGAGGAGTAAAAATAATCCTACTCTTTGATATATATAATCCTAAGACTCAAAATATTTTGTTCTAGACTCAATAACATCAGCGATTCGATCAAGCAGGGGGCTGCTAAGTCGGGGATGGCTCTGATACCAACTTGTAACACCCACGATGCGGCTATACCTCCCACGTGTCGAGGCACGACTTAGAGGCATAACCGCATTGTGGTTTTGTCGCAAGAGGGGTAATCTTCACACAATCCCATGTACTAGATAAGAAAGGGATAAAGAGCTGGCTTACAATTGCCACTTCACACAAATAACAAGTTAAACATACATCATCTGGAGTACAATCAAAGGTCTGACTACAGAACCAAAATAAAAGAAGACAACCCCAATTGCTCGATCCCTAATCGTCCCAACTGGGCTCCACTACTGATCAACAGGAAACGAAACAGAACAACGATCAAGATCTTCATCGAGCTCCCACGAAACAGAACAACAATCAAGATCTTCATCGAGCTCCCACTTGAGCCGGGTTGCATCACCTGCACTGGTATCATCGGCACCTGCAACTGTTTGGAAGTATCTGTGAGTCACGAGGACTCAACAATCTCACACCGGCGAGATCAAGACTATTTAAGCTTATGGGTAGGATAGGGTAATGAGGTGGAGCTGCAGCAAGCACTAAGCAAAATATGGTGGCCAACATACGCAAATAAGAGCGAGAAGAGAAGCAACACAACGGTCGTGAACTAGAAGTGATCGAGAAGTGATCCTGAAACTACTTACGTTCAAGCATAACACAAGATTGTGTTCACTTCCCGGACTCCGCCGAAAAGAGACCATCACAGCTACACACGCGGTTGATGCATTTTAATTAATTTAAGTGTCAAGTTCTCTACAACCGAATATTAACAAGTTCCCATCTACCACCTAACCATGAGCACGGCTTTTGAAAGTTTATACCATGCAGGGGTGTCCCAACTTAGCCCATCACAAGCTCTCACGGTCAACGAAGGATATTACTTCTCCCGGGAAGACCCGGTCAGTTTCGGAATCCCGGTTACAAGACATTTGGACAATGGTAAAACAAGACCAGCAAAGCCGCCCGATGTGCCGACAAATCCCGATAGGAGTCGCACGTATCTCATTCTCAGGGCACACTGGATTGGCAAGATGTCAGGTTGGCATAGACCCTGGTTGCCCATGGGGCACCGGACATCGCCCAGTTACCAACACTCGAAGAAGAACTGGCCCAAGGGTTTAAAATAAAGATGACCCTTGAGTCTGCAGAACCCAAGGGAAAAAGGCTTAGGTGGCAAATGTAAAACCAAGTTTGGGCCTTGCTGGAGGAGTTTTATTCAAAGAGAACTATCAAGGGGTGCCCATAACACCCAACCGCATAAGGAACACAAAATCAAGGAACATAACACCGGTATGACGGAAACTAGGGCAGCAAGAGTGGAACAAAACACCAGGCATAAGGCTGAGCCTTCCACCCTTTATCAAGTATATAGATGCATTAATTAAATAAGAGATATTGTGATATCCCAACATATCCATGTTCCAATATTGAACAAACTTCATCTTCACCTGCAACTAACAACGCTATAAGAGGGGCTGAGCAAAATCGGTAACGTAGCCAAACAACGGTTTGCTAGGAAGGTGGGTTAGAGGCTTGACATGGCAATATGGGAGGCATGATATAACAAGTGGTAGGTAGCACGACATAACAATAGAGCGAACAACTAGCAAGCAAAGATAGAAGTGATTTCGAGGGTATGGTCATCTTGCCTGAAATCCCGCAAGGAAGAAGAACGTGTCCATGAAGAAAACAAATGGACGTAGTCGAACGAATCCTCACAACTCCGAAACGAAACCGAAGCTAATGAGAGAAGCAACCCGGAAAGAAGCAAGCAATATGCATGGCATGGCAAAGAGCATCAAACAAAACTACAAATTAAGTGGAGTTCAATATGCAACGAGTTGCATATTGAAGAAACACCACATTTAATTATTTAGTTATCTCCCGTTTAAACTACTCAACAAAATTAAATGTTGTTTAAACATGGCAAGAGGTGAAGCATAAGTAAAATAAACATTTTAGGCAATTTAAATGAGGCCGGAAACATCAAACAACAAATTCCGGAAAACCCTCATGTGCATTTAGCAATTTAATGCAAACAACAATTTTAAACAAAATAAATGTTATAATCATTGATGCGGATGACATGTGCAAGTTTTATGCAATTTTTATGAAAAAGTTAACATGAGAATGTTATGAAGTATTTGTCATCATGGCGGAACGAAAAAGAGTGCCACGGCAACTACAACGGAAATGGTACCACGGTAACATATCTGATGATCTGGCAATGCGTGGAAGCGCCGGTGCAAAAGAACAAGTGTGCAGTGTGCGGAACATGCGAGAGTGATGGCGAGTAATCCCGGTAATCGGGTGTTCCAATGACGGTGGCAAGGAAACGAGTGACGACGTGCGATGAACAAGTCGGGCATGGTGCAAACACGGACATCTCATACATCACATGCATTTGTTCACGGGCGTCATCTCGGTGGTATACCTTTGAAGCGAGCATTTTCGAAGCGGATCGAGTTCGTCGAGGGAAGTAGTCGTTCACGGCCGTGTTGGAAGTAGTGGTTCACGCAACGGTAGTTGAAATTGACGCTTGCGTTACATGGGTCTTCGGAGACGGTAGTCGTACATGGTTCGGAGTGGTACTTGCATCTTCGGACTTGTCGGTCTCGATTCTTGCGATGGTAGTGGTACAAGGTCGTCGTGGGAAGTAGTCATACTCGTGAACTTGTCGGATCCACGATGAACGGTAGTCGTTCACGGCGCTTGTGACCTGCGGTTCTTCGAGTAACGGTAGTCGTACACGTTCGTAAATGTCCGGGGCTGTCGGTAGAGGTACTTGGTATATCACTGGACTTGGCGATTCGGTGCGGTGTAGTGGTACAAGTCAATGCTCATCGTGGTACTTCGTTCCGGTCCTGTAGTCGTACTAGGCATCGGTGGACCTTCGAGGGGCTTGCGTATCCGAAGGTGTACTTGGTGATAATCCCTGTTCGGTGGTCGAACTTGGCGTCAACAGCAACAGCAAGTGGAGGTGCATGATGATAGTGGGGCGTCGCGCTCGTCCACTACGGCGGACAGGGCATGCAGGTCGTGGTGGTACTGCTCGAGGTAGCAGCAGGAGATGGCCGGGTCGGGTGCTTGTCAGCAGGCAGCGAAACAAGCTGCTGCTGCTCGAAGAAGGCGGCGGCACGCTTGCGGCTGAACGGAGGGAGGAAGAGGCACGGGCGCGAGGTGGCCCTCAGCTGCCATGGCCGGAGGCGAGGCAGAGCAGCGAGCTGGAAGTTGAGGTCGTTGGAGGACTAGCTCGCCGGAGTGGCGAGCCAAGCCTCTTCTTGTGGCAATGGCAGCGAGGAGGAGGCCGTAAAGGGAGTAGAGGAACGGCGGAGCAGAGGACGGGGTCGCCGGAGGCGATGTTGGCGCAGCACGGCTGGATGCGCGGGCGCCATGGCGGGGAGGCGACAAAGCGGAGGTGCTCGAGGCGCGGGAGGGAGAAAAGTCATGGGGCGGAGCTGACGGAGGAAGGAGGTCAGGCGCTGGAGGGAGATGGGGACTGATGGGGTCTCTCTGGCGGCGGGATGGAGATGAGGGAGAGGGAGAGATCGATCGGGAGATGAGGGTTAGGTTAGGATGGATCGGGCACTGCTGGGCCTTGGCCTAGTGGCCGGCTTGGCTGCTGCTGGGCCTGAGTGGCCTGCGGCTAAGGAGGCCCAAGAGGCATGGCTTGACCCTTTCTCTCTCCCTTATTCCCTTTAGAAGAAGAAAAAAATAGAGAGAGGGTCAAAATAATTAAGAGAAAAGGCCATGAACAAGAATTAGATGGTGGGACATATTTTGTAGGGCTTAATGGAATATTTCCAACCCAACAAAAGTGGTTCCGACAAAATCAGGGAAGTTAAATCCAAAATTATTTAACTTGCACCAAAGGAGTTTGAATGCAGTCCAGGATTTCGGAGTGTCCAAAAATGTTGAGAATTTAGACAGAGCCTCGATAAATGGAGAAACAATTATCAGCAAGGTTTGGAGGTGAAACTTGAAGGAGAAGAGGCATGCAACTAAAATGCAAGTGTGTTATGGTTAATTCCAAATTAATGGAATATTTATTATAGCTCTCTAAATATCGAGAGGATATGTTATAAATAGACATCACTATGTGAATTCCCTCAATTTAAATGGATCAGAAATCCATGCAATTTGTTTAAGTGAGTTTTAGTTGGCTTTGAGAAAATGATGGCATGATGACATGATGCAATGCAAAAGATGCAAAGATGAATGCAACAAGCAAAACAAATCACACGACGAAACTCGGAAACCATGGAAGGCATCTGGAGCGCTGGTCTTGGGGCGTCACATATATTCATAAGGTAATTTAATTTTCTTTCTAGGAAAGTGTTCCATGCCTTTCCTTAACGGAAATTGGAATCTAATATTTTCTTCTTTCATATCAACAATTGCACCAATCATTCTAAGGAAAGGTCTACCAAGAATAATAGGACATGTAGGATTGCAATCAATATCAAGAACAATGAAATCTACGGGCACATAATTCCTATTTGCAACAATAAGAGCATCATTAATCCTTCCCATAGGTTCCTTAATAGTGGAATCCGCAAGGTGCCAGTTTAAATAACAATCATCAAATTCACGGAAACCTAACACATCACACAAAGTTTTTGGAATCGTGGAAACACTAGCACCCAAATCACATAAAACATAGCATTCATGATCTTTAATTTTAATTTTAATAGTAGGCTCCCATTCATCATGAAGTTTTCTAGGGATAGAAACTTCCAGTTCAAGCTTTTCTTCATAAGATTGCATTCAACCATCAATGATATGTTTAGTAAACGCCTTATTTTGACTATAAGCATGCGGAGAATTTAGCACGGATTGCAACAAGGAAATACAATCTATTAAAGAATAATTACCATAATTAAATTCCTTGAAATCCAAAATAGTGGGTTTATTGCTATGTAAAGTTTTGACCTCTCCAATCCCACTTTTATTAATTTTTGCATCAAGATCTAAAAACTCCGAATCATTGGGACGCCTTTTAACTAAAGTTGACTCATCTCTAGTCCCATCATTATCAAGATTCATTTTGCAAAACAAAGATTTAATAGGAGACAGATCAATCACTTTTAGATCTTCATCCTTATTATCATCAAAACTAGAAGAACATGCTTTTATAAAGAAATCTTTTTTAGCATGCATCTTAGCGGTACTTTCTTTTCACTCATCAATGAAAATTCTCATGGCTTTGAGGGACTCATTGATATCATGCTTAGGTGGAATCGATCTAAGTTTCAAAGAATCAACATCAAGAGAAATTCTATCCACGTTCCTAGCCAACTCATCAATCTTAGACAGTTTTTCTTCAATCAAAGCACTGAAACTCTTTTGCGAACTAATAAATTCTTTAATATTAGATTCAAAATCAGAGGGCATCTTATTATAATTTCCATAAGAATTGTTGTAGGAATTGCCATAATTATAAGAGGAATTACTAGGAAAAGGCCTAGGATTAAAATTACCTCTATGTGTGTTGTTACCAAAATTGTTCCGACCAACAAAATTCATATCCATAGATTCATTATTATTCTCAATCAAAGTAGACAAAGGCATATCATTAGGATTAGAAGAAACACTCTTATTAGCAAACAATTTCATAAGTTCATCCATCTTTCCACTCAAAACATTAATTTCTTCTATTGCATGCACCTTTTTAATAGTAGATCTTTCAGCGTGCCATTGAGAATAATTAACCATAATATTATCTAGGAGTTTAGTAGCTTCTCCTAAAGTGATTTCCATAAAATTGCCTCCCGCGACCGAATCTAAAAGATTTCTAGAAGCAAAACTCAATCTGGCATAAAATTTTTGTATAATCATCCAAAGATTCAAACCATGTGTAGGGAAATTACGTATCAGTTTTTTTGCATCCTCTCCCAAGCTTGTGCAACATGTTCATGATCAAGTTGCTTAAAATTCATAATATCGTTTCTAATAGAGATGATCTTAGCGGGAGGAAAATACATAGAGATAAAAGCATCTTTGCACTTATTCCATGAAACGATACTATTTTTAGGCAAAGATGAAAACCAAGTTTTAGCACGATCTCTAAGCGAAAACATGAATAGCTTCAATTTAACAATATCATTATCCACATATTTCTTCTTTTGCATATCACACAAATCAACAAAGTTGTTTAGATGGGTAGCGGCATATTCACTAGGAAGGCCGGAAAACGGATCTTTCATGACAAGATTCAGCAAAACAGTATTAATTTCACAAGATTCATCATCGGTAAGAGGAGCAATCGGAGTCCTAATAAAATAATTATTGTTGGTACTGGAAAAGTCACACAATTTAGTATTATCCTGAGCCATCGTGACAAACAATCCAACACACAAGCACACAAGAAGCAAGCAAAAAGAGACGAACTAGAAAAGAGAAGGGGAACGGAAAAGGAGGGCGAATAAAATGGTAAGGGTGAAGTGGGGGAGAGGAAAATGAGAGGCGAGTGGCAAATAATGTAATGCGGGGGATAAGAGTTTGTGATGGGTACATGGTATGTCTTGACTTGTGCGTAGATCTCCCCGGCAACGGCGCCAGAAATCCTTCTTGCTACTGATGGTGTCCTGGACTAGGGGGTAGTCACCACATCGTCTCCCGATCAGTTGGATTGGGCCGAGGACCCCCATGGTCGTTTACTCATGGGCCAGTTCGGACAGCCGAAGACATATACGAGGAAGATTCCACAAGACTTGGTGACCAAGACAAGGACTCCTCTCCATCGACGTATTCGACTAGGACTCTTGTTATCCTAGGCCTCTGGTACATTATATAAGCCGAGGCCAGGCTAGTCGGTAGATTATTATGAAATTATTCATCATACCCTCAGGTTTTAGACCACAACATATGATCTCGAGGTAGATCAACTCTGTACTTGACACTCCATCAATATAAACAAGAGCAGGACGTAGGGTTTTACCTCCATCAAGAGGGCTCAAACCTGGGTAAACATCGTGTCCCCTGTTTCCTGTTACCCATCGATCCATGATACACAGCTTGGGACCCCCTACCCGAGATCTGCCAGTTTTGACACCGACAATGGTGCTTTCATTGAGAGTCCCGCTGTGTGATCGGCAAAGGATCAATGGCTCGCCCGCAGGACAACTGCGATGTCGGCATATTCGTCGCCGGCTCGACTGGTCACCTTGGCTCGACCGAGGACCGCGCTCCATATCCGATCATCATGTTCGGATGAGGGCCTTCCTCAACATCAACTCCGATCTCTATCAAGATCATGGAGGAATCATCCATGGAGCTCGGGGGCTCAACGTCAACATTGCCCTCGGGCGACCGTGCTGTTTTTTCGAACAGCGAACTTGTATTCGCTGCCACCACCTCTTCGAGCATCGCTTTGACAATCTGTTCAATGAAATTGTGCGGAATTGAGTCTACAATAACCATGCAAAATTTCCCCGATTCTGATGGAGGAATCTCCAGCAATCTACGATATACCGGAGCCCTGTCAAATCTGGACAGGAATCTGGATGAGTTTAGGGCCTGGTCTCCAGCACCTAGCTTGGACATCCTTTGGAAGATCCAACCGTTGATTGGCTGCGGAATTCCTATATCTAACACCCCTCAAAATTTCAGCTCGATCCGACCATCCAAACTCCGGGAACCTTCCTATTAGTGCATCACTTTTCGGGTCTGTTTCCTGCGCGAATACGGATCCGACCCGAATTCATGTTTCTTTATGAACGTGATATGGGACAACCTTCTTAAAGGAATTTTCTCCTATGTTATTGTGCATTGTTTTTAAACACGTGCCCATAAAATTTTAAGCCTCCACTGAGGTAATCTTCACTATCATGCTGGTGTCAAACCCGTCCGGCAATATTGCTCCACGGCTGCCGACCTGCACTAGACACGTCGTCGCCTTTTGAGCCGAGCTCAACTTCTTCGGATCATCATCTCGGTAAGCGAACAAGAGTTTGGAATCAACAAGGATAAATCATCGCCAACATCGCTGCCCCGAGGATTACACGGAGAGGGCACACAGGCATCGCCGCATGGTCACTTCATCAAACCGGCATTGACCGCATCACAAGTTACGACCTGCGTCGGCATGGCCGCACTGTTGCTTCTTCAAGCCGATGTCCATCACGCCGAACTGCTTCAACATCTCGGCCGACACGGCAGCTGCAATGTCTCCTTACTGACCTGCTTCGTCTCCTCGGCTAGACCGACGGCTTCACCATCTCTTCATCAACTTACTTCGGAGACTTCGGCGTCACCAGCCGACCAGCTTCATCACATTAGCTGGACCACGGGCTTTTCCTCGGCGAGCCAATCTTTGCCAGCATCACCATGCCACCGCTTCATACCCCATCAGCCGAGTCCCATGTTTGGGAGTAACCTTTCCTTAGATTGCTACAACACACAAATCAGGTGCTATTAATCCTAGTATTTTTTTCTTGCTTGGGTTTATTTTTCCCAAGGAATTATTACTCTGGTTTGTTTCATCATCTATACACAGGTCTAT